AAAAAAAAAAAAATGCCGTGAGAGAATTCCTTCAAGGCCAAAATGTGTTATTAAATTTGCCGACTGGTTTTCCAGCGTCTTCCAATCGCTGCAGATGCACTGCCGCGTATTCTGTAATCTAGCCGACAGTTCTAGCGTAAGAAATTATGATATTCAAAGACAAACGGTTCGATAAGGCTCTCGATAAGAAAAAAATATCCTCCGGAACCCAGGGTATGCACTGTGTAATCTAAAGCAAGAAACTGATCTCTGTTACGTTGTTCAAGCTGACTCTAAGGTCACGTTTCACACTATCACGAGCTCATTCTCGTCACGAGCAATGAGCTATGTTTGGCCTGTCAACACTTCATTTCAAATTGGACTAATCACAAACCGCGTAAGAAACAAGCCAATCAAAAACGCCAATATATGTCCTTGCGACTCTGCGGGATTCGAAAACGATATTGTGCTCTAATTCGCAGACGTTCTATACAGAAGGCTTAGAGTGTCTGCGGCGCAGGCTAGGTATCCCTGAAAGTAGGTAAATATACTAGTATAAACTTATTGCAATTTACTTCTTTTTTAGTTTTTTTTTTACATTTATCACTGTATATGACGAAATGCGGTAATGATGTACCAATTTGCACTAACTCCTGTAACGAAACCATAACATACCATACAGAAATATCTGTCTGTGATCATAGAAGAAATGATTAACAAATGTCAGTCATCTTTCCTTGTGTCAGGCATATGTTAAACCAAATGAATGCCACTCATAAAAACACAAAACCAAAGTTGCGGGATTGTGAGCAGTATCTAACTGTTGACACCAAATGATAGCAGTTCTAAAGTAGATGCTGTTGATGAACCAGCAGTTTGTGGGCTGGCTGCCCTGTCGGCTGGCTCTAATTGCAGACTACATTCAGATAATGAAGGGCACTTTGCGCTGCTTTTTCATGAGCAGAAGTTTTAGTTAATCCCATCCCACTGCAAACTGTCGGTGGAGTTTTGTTCAGTCTAACAAAACATAAGTAATTACCGGAAGATCCCTTTTGAGAGAAATCATGATATTCCACAGAAAAACAACTCCGTTTTCCTTCTTCTTCAAGTGAAGAGCAAAACTCCTCACTGACGCCGTCATTAACACCAGAATGTGAAAATGGGTGAATTAGACGTGTCAAATTATCATTATCATCTTCATCATTATCAACATCATCATCGCTGGCCAAATGGTCATTAAGCTGGCTTAACAGATAGGGAACTGGTTTGGATGAGCAACCACTTGAGACCGAACTTTGGCGTTGAGACGCTCCCAGAGAGTTGTCACGAACATTCCTTGATGACGAATCTGTAGAAGATGGATTCTAATAGAAATAAATATGAGAGAGTGATCTTTCTTTTCTTGCAACAAAAATATTTTGTTGTTCACCATAAAACATTTTTACCGCAGCATTACTTAACTTTTTAGTGAGCCGTCGGAGAATTGCAGTCGGAAGCAGCATGAACGATCTTATCGGTCAAAGAACGATTAGAACGAGATTCAAACACGCGTACTCATAATTTTCCTTTTTTGCGATCACAGATTCCTTAGGCTAGCAGTCTCTTATTTTTCTTTTGAGTGACAGTAGATCAAGAACACGGGGCAAGCGGCATGGCTTTGAGGAAAGAAGAACGACTTCTCGCGTCTACAGGTTCCTAGGGAAATAACATATTTATCAAGGATATGCCCCAAAAATAAAATTAAATAAATTGGATTATTGAAAAAAACTTCTAATTTTTCATGATACTATTGTTTAATTACTTTCTATTGAAAAAAATGTTTGGTTTTGCAGCAAAGTAATGCCTGGACAGTTTAGCTAACTACGGCAGATTCTTCAAGTAGCTAAATTAGCCCTCCATACACGTTACTACCAAATGTTTTAATCACGTAAATTATTAGATGCCACCTGTAGAATTGAAAGAACGTGTATCTTGAAGTGAGACATTAAGGACCAATAACAGAAAAGAATAATTAACTAAATTTGCAACCATTTTGGAAGAAGGCGTATAAATAAGCAAAGAAGATAGGATCCTGGTCAAGACAGATC